ACAAACTTCAACTTCACAAACAAAACGGCTCCTTTAGGAGCCACCACATAAATTAAAGTCAATGACCAACAATGATTTACATGTACCTACCTTTCGTGATCTCGGAAATTTGTGTTTGTTGATAATCGCTCGGCTTATAGTCGAATAAACATTGAATTTCGAATCTTGTTAAGCACCCGTAAATATTTTTTGGCGAAAATACTCGGCTATAAGCCGAACCCCCTACCTTGGCGAGAATTTACCTGTTCTCAGTTTAATTTGTTGGAAAAATCGCTCGGCTTATAGGCGAATAAATATGGTATTAGCTTCATAAAGAAACAGGAACTCTTCGTCGGTCAGTAGCTTTTCTGCGTAAGCAATAGCAATCATTTCGCGAGTCTTTTTAAAATATGCCATGATTTACAGACCGAGCTAGAAACTTCAGGTTCTCTGCCTTCCTCCGTTCAAACAACCCACTCCTTAATGTAGAAAGTTTCTCGCCAAGAAGGTCGGTTTCGGCCCAGTCCTCCGCGCCTAATATTACCATCCTCGAGGTCAGCCGTCCAGGTATCTTAAAGTCCCTAATTTGATTGTTATTGCTTACGCAGAAAAGCTACTGACCGATGAAGATTTCCTGTTTCTGTACGAAGCTATTAAGCCAGTTAATTTAGAGCTGCCATGCTACGAGTACGAAGAATTTAACTTATGGCTGAACATTTATGGTGAATAGCAGTAATTTGCGTGATACATGGAGTCAGCAAAATAATTCTGGAAACAGAAGCCAGAAAATTCAATTTCATTCAAGTTTAGTTGACATATTTGCCATCACTGCGAAGCACATCAAACAAACACTCATTCGCGACGGTATTTTACACTTCAATATTTTAACTTTTGTTTATCAAAACAAGAAATAACAGTAAGGAGAGCCTTTTCAATTGAAAAATAATGAATTTAAAAGAAATACTCGTCAAATGTGCTTACGTTCACTTGTGGACGGCAAAACTCCAATTCTGAAGTCCTCGACAACAACTGGAGGGCAACACGTGTTGTGCTGACATGTGCAATACAGTCTACACGTGTAAAATTACTTCTGGTCAGCCGTCCTCTGAAACAGCCATCTAGGTATCTTAAAGTCCCTAATGAAAAATTTACACCCTCGTAGACCTTCCTCTTTGTCAGGGCATAATTTCCTTCAGATTAAATCTTCTCTACCAGCACAGTAAGGGTATGGTGATTCTTGTTGCATGCTGTCCTCAAGACTGATAGCTAGGCAAAGCATGTTTATCACTGTGAATAATAATTTTAAAAACTATGGATGGTCATTTAGCTCAATCACAACTTAACTTACTATCCAGAATGTCAGTTCAAAATGTATACAGAGGTCTGTTTCTGTCTTAATACCAGCCTTTGGAGAGTAAACACTGTTTGATTTATTTTTCTCTGTAGTTTAATCATAAAATATCTATCAAATTCTACATTTTAGGGTACGATGGCTGGTGATGAGAAACTTGGAAGAACGATGCTCTTTCCTTTGGCTGAGAAAATGGTTGAAAAATTTGTGAATGAAGACAAAATTGAAGCAGAAGCAGGTGCAGTGTTTTTAGTCACCTGATCAGGAATTATTATTATTTCTGGTTAATTAGTGACAGCTTGTTTCCATTGTTCATATGTGCTCACAATTATTGCTTGTAGTAGCTTGAAGTTTATACTTAAGGAGGCTCGAAAGGTTTTTGTGACCGTGCGAAGAATGGATACCAAGATACATGCAAGCTTATTACTCGTGAGAGAAATAAGCGATGGCGCGCGTGATCACAACTGCGGGCCAGTTGTAAACAAACATGGCTGCCATTGGCATTTCAAAATTGTCAGGTACCTCTACTGTTTCCAGCAGAAGTGGTTATTTGAGAACCAAAAATGGAAAGTTTACTTCTTGAAAGCAGGTAGGAAAATGTTCAGATGGCAGGATTTTTGCCGAAACTGGTCAAAAAAATTTTATATAACGAGCTAAAGGAGGATGGTGAAGTCGACACCCCATCCATAAAGTCACGTTGAGTGCATTCGGTAGGTCTTGCTTTATTCCTCGAGAAATTTAAGTGGATACCTGTGAGCGCTATGATTTGTTTTGCGTTGAATTTGATTCCTAATGAAATGAAATGAGCGAGAACTTTCCTAAACAACTCACTGGAAGATGAAAAGGAAAATCAAATCACTGTTGGATCCAGAATTGTAAACATTGACAATTTTATGAACGGAAATGGAGAATTGTAATTGTTGCCATAAAAATAAACATAATTTTCAGTAAACAAGAGATCGTAAAAATGTAGATGAGACTTTAATTCTAGTTCAACTACAGACAGTAAATTTAAAATAAAATATTCATCTTAAACTTGTGAGAAAGATTGTTGATATTTCCCTCGATAAACTGTAAATTACAACTACGAAAATGCAAACTCGCATTTGTTAAGAAAGGATTGCAACATTTGTTTTGTTTTCCATTTAAAATGGAATAATGAAAGTTCACGGTTATGACAGTGGCAAAGAGAAAAAAAGAAAAATGAAGCCAAGGCCTGTTCATACCTCTTGTACCTCGAAAATTATAGAAATTCACAAAATCTGTGATGACCAACAAAGTACTGATGTATATGAAACCCTCATTTCTGCTGAGTTTGACGCTCATGACAATCTGGATTACGTCAAAGCAAATTCTTTTCACTCCAAATTGATTTCAATCCTCCACTTCAAATTGCACATGAACAATTATATCGGTCAATCATGGCAAATGTGCATCGCCAAATGAGGCCTTCGATCAAGCCATCTTCTCGGAACAATGACAAGATACCATCCAGACGCTCGATGGAAAGCTTCATCTCTCGACAAACATGGTCCAGAAGCTGGCAGATGTTGGTTTGTCTCATGTTACACTACAATCTGTGTACGAGAAACTCAACATTACCGGCCTCAATGGAGTACTGGCATTGGCGCCATCTGCAAAATCAACTTGTCATCATATATCATATTATCTCTGGAGTTTATCTCCGGATTTCATTTGCAACTGTGATAATGGTAAGCAGTCTGAGTCTCAAATGATGACTTATTTTTCAGGAAGGTGTAAAATCACAAAACAATGTGTATCCATCATCAAGGATGAACGATTTTTTCTGCGCTGAGGGCATCCATAGATTAATCGCGCGGACACGGACTCGTCCTCGCAAAAATGAGCCCATGAGTCAGCGGTATCGTTTAAAACATGTGACCGGATATAAAAGTGTGAGCTAAAATTGCAAAAACCGTAAATAAACCTTGCTAAGTTGATGAACTAATATCTCGAAAATTAGTTCGGTGACCTACCCTGATTTTTTGTAAACAAATTATTCTCATCATTACGCATTCCTGAAGAAAATTTTAAAAAAATTTATCTGGTGGAAATTTTTTTATATCACGTATACAGGTAGAGAGTGTGATGTTTAAGAAATCTAAAAAAAAAAAAAACTAGGTCACAGACTTGGTTTTTGAGATATCTTTAAAAAACTGAGTTTTAGAGGATCTTTTAGCACTACTGTACTGTTGCCATGGCAACAGATAATGCCTGACAAACCTCCTTAAAAGATTGCCCTAACATATTGTTATGCATATGTCGAGTTATTATCCTGATGATAATTTTGACAGTCCTGATATCTTTTACTGATTGGCACTTGCTGTTAATTATGGAAAACCCTTTCGAGCCTCCTTAACCTCTCACAAAGAAAACCCCTTTCTCATCAATTCATCAACATTTCCCATCATCATCATTATCATTACCATCAACATTTAATTACCAGTGCTTGCAGTTGTAGCAATGAGCAGTAAAGGAAAAAAGGGAAATAGTGATAAGAGTGCAAGAAAAACGTCTGGTCCTGGTTTTTCAAAGGGGGATTAAAGCTATTCAGGGATTAAATCACTATCCAGTGGATAAGTGTTAACAAAACATGCTATGCCATCCACCAGATAGCAATATATCCTGTTTATAGGGTTATCCAACTTTCAAACAAAGGGGGCCAGGTTTAAAGGGAGTAGGAAATGTGAATCTCTTTATCTTAGGCTTGTCCATTTTTTCTGAAACAAGCCATGTGCTAGAAATATCTCACATCTTGTCATTTCTAAACCATTTTGATGTTTTCCATTCTTGACCGTACAAGTCCTATTCCTTTTTGTGTGTGTGTGTGTTTTTTTTATGTTATGAAAATAATATCTTGTTAGCCTCCTTCAAGTCGAAAGTAGTACATTCTGAGGCAAACAATGGAGATTGAAATGTCATAATATGGCTCACTGTATTTAAGCCGGAAAAGCTTCTGCTTGTTAAGTCAGTAATCACCCGCAACTCTGCAGTGATAACAACAACTACATGTATATACTTGCCATTTTCTGTAATTTTAATTTGCTCCCACTGGGTTTTGGCAGTAGCCATCACAAGTATTTTACAGCTCATAAGATAAAGTCTGATGATTGAAAATGAACAAGCCGCAAGATAAAACTTGTGTGTGGAATTCCTTATCTTTTAAATATTGTTTGGGCTCTCGGAAATCCTATTTTTTTTAATCAGTTTACTTGTACTTATACTTTTCACTTTTCACTTGCACTTTTCAGAGGTTCATCTGTATTTAATGATCTTAGAAAAGCTTGAATGTTATGAAAAGGCTCTTGATGTTCTCAGAAGTAATTTGGCTGGTGAGTATACATGCGTTAGACAAACTTTAGTTACTGTGAAGTTGGCTGTCTTTAAGCAGTGTTTTGGCAGACTTTGAAGACTATTAGGAAATGCACCAATATCAAATTCAACTTAAAAAATTTCTGTATCATTGTCACCTTTTCTATATATAAAATATAAAAAATATGGATTGGATATATTTATATTGAAATTACCAATATCTTTTTTAGCTATTGTACACTCACCTCTTAGATAACCTCATATGCTTAATCTAAATCAAAGTAAGGTAGTATGATTAAAGCCCACACTGGCAGGAGGCAACTGGTTGACAATTTTCAAGGATTGTTAGGGAGTTAAACCCCTTGACTCCAAAGAGTGACTGGCATCTAATTTCTGCTTACAATATAATCCTTGAATCCCACATTAAGGTTACAAGATTAAAGGAAATTATCATCACCTGGAGAAGTTATTGATTGTTAAACAAATTCTCCTTGTCAGCCTCTTAGGAAATGTATAGAGAACAGTATGGAGAATATGCATACTGATGTTGGGGTGTAGAGGGTGAAACTTGGGACTTACCAGAACTTACACCTAGAACCCTTGAATTAGGATTGCACTGCTCTCACCATTAAGTCATACCCCTTAGATCTGTAATCAGGTTTCTTTTTTCACTTACTTAGCTAAACTGATTAGCTACATGGATGAAAGAGAGGAGAAAGAAGCCATTTATTTAACGAAACTCTGTAGATGGCATGAAGCAAATGTAGCATTTAAGAAACTCATTTTGAGAAGGTACATGTTTATTTTTAGTAAAAATCTTTTTCATTGAGTTCATAAATGTATTATCACCATTTGCTCTAAGCCTTGTTATAAAGATGAATTTCAGTATTTCAAAAGTAGCCTATTGTCATGACTCAGAATATGCCTGTCTATTTCTAATTCAGCTGTAAACAATGGACATGTCAAGAGAAGAACAGTATTGGCTGGGCTGTTAAATAATATGAATAGGAATATCCAGGCATATACTGTATGCTATAGTGTGGACTTTGAACTTCATTAATCTGTCAACTCATATGAGTGACCAAGACTGAAATTCTCCTTACAATATCAATACAACATTAAGCAGACAGGGATGAGAATAAAGAATAATTTCAAATAGGGGATTACTAGTTGATCCAGTGCCATATTCTGCAAGCTAACATCATAAGAATTGTGTGGCAGACAGTAAAGAGAACTACTAATTTGATCCAAGGAGTAAAAGGGTTTAACTGTATATCTATTTTTCTTATTTCTCCTAGACCAGACCAGTGGTCATACTACCAGTCATACCTTGCCTCAGCTTTCTCCCTCGTCAAACAAGACTGGAAACCTGTTGATGAGTCAGAGTGGGTTTTATTCATGTGATTTTTTTGCAGAGGGAGATTAAGCAGTTATCAGTAAATAACTTAGCTCAAAGTCAGAGAAGAAACAACAACAGCCTACATATTAGAAGCAAAAGTGTGCATTCCACATTCCCAAGACATGATGCACAGAAGAATCTGACTGGAATGTGGTTGATTTTTCTTGGAAATATTTTGAGTTATGAAGGCTAAGCTAGCAGTATTCTGTAAGAATATTTCCATAAAAATCTATTACATTCCAGTCAGATTCTTCTGTGCATTACGCCTTGGATTGACTTCTTGATCAAATGAAAATCCAAATTCTGTATATTTTTTCCAACCCCACTTTTTTTTAGTAATTTGTGTACTTGTTTTAATTTTTTTTTCAGAGAACTTCCAGATTATTCTTTAGAAATGATTGACAAATTCCTAGTATCTGTCATGGAAGTGGAACAAACTAAAGAAAAGAGATCATGCAGAGGACCTTTTTTAGCACAATTAGAATTGAAAAAGCTTTGTAGTCAAGAATGTATTAACTGTGATTCAAGACAGGGTGAGTTAATAGCTTGCATTTATTCATAAACAATAAATCTAAAGACCCTGTGACATTGAACCTGGCTAGCATTGCTAGTCTTTTTGACTTCACCTGTTCTGCAATGTGTATCTCTTCTCAAGGTTTTTTCTCCCCCAGCCTATCATATTTGTGCTTTCAAGCGAAATGGAATGCTGCAAAAGAAAACTTTACTCAATTTAATAAAATGTATTTATTGACTGATTGGGAGGGCTGGATGGGAAAATATTTGGCTGAAGGTCATGGCGACCAAAACTAATCGACAATGGTTTAGTGTGGTCTGTACTCTTATCTACAGCGATATTCATCATCGCAGTGGTTAAAATTTTTTGCAACCCTTAAGCCTTTGCGAGTCCACAACATTGTTACTATTGTGATGACGAATATCATTGTCAATTAGAATACAACCCACGCTAAACCATTGTCAATTTGTTAAATCTGCTGTAGATTTGTAAGATGCTGAAACTCTTCTTGATAGCTTTGTCAAGAGTGAGGAATCTCAATGACAGAGTAGACTTTTATATGGATTATGATATAAATCAAGTTGTTGAAAAGAAGTTTGCTTGTTCTCTTGTAAGTAAAATGCTAAGAATTTCTTGTGTGTTTCCTTCCAGCTTCCACTTCTACTGTATATTTATTAACAGAGTATTTTAAACGGTTTGGAGACAAGCACTGTTGTTTTTGGGACCTTGAACCTTACTTACATGTAAATCTACCAGAAATGCCGGACAAAGAAAAGGTAATGTTCAACAGATTTCAATGCAGGGCTGAATGACCAAGACAGAATTTCTCCATATAATGAATATCAATGAATATCTTGAGAATAAAGAAAAATACCAACTAGGGGATTATTAGTTGATCCAAGACCAAAAATTAATTCTCCAAACTAACTTTGTAAGAGTTGTATAGGAGACAGATAATTAGATAAGAGAATTTGGTGTTGTATCAACTAGCCATTCTTTAGGTGACTGCTTGTTTGCCCATTCTATTCTCTTGTTTGTTGATTGATGAAATTATATATTGCAATGCTATAAAACAATGCCAATATCACAAAGATGGTGTCAAACCAACTGTCTTAAACCCTCCAACACTCTTTAATGCTCAGAAAAGATGACACAAGATGTGGAGTAACTTTTTTTTAAAAGAGTCTCAGTATGTCTGTCCAAAAATACACACTATAATTAACATGACAAATTTAACATATGAAAATTATTAATTTTGGTGAGTAGTGGTTGAAGAATTTGGCAAAACTTTGTGGCATTCATGGTAATCTCCTTAAAACTCTTTGCACTAACTTTGCATATTTAACAGATTGGATGGTTTAGCCAAACTTGTCATATCTGCTATTCTTGCCCAATTCAAATCATTTGTCAAAACACTATCAAGTCCTTTAAGAAAAATTCTTGGCACTTTGTTTTAGTTTGTGGAAGCATTAAGGAATACCCTTCCATCAGTCAGTGATGAAGATTCTGAGTCATCTCATGTAAGTAAAGTATAATTATGGCTAAGATTTATTGAAGTTGTGAATAGTAGTTATTAGTATATACTAAAAGAGTGGATAGCGTTGAAGGCGCACTCTGATTGGCTAGTCAAACTCCGAATATCCTTTGCTATTTACCTCCAAGCAACTCCGGAAAAAATGGCGTCACGGTTTGCATCCGTGACAAGTGAAGAAATCACTCAAATTAACGACAGTGGTGTAGATTGTCTCACTGTTTTAGTATATACTAAAACAACTATTCACCTCAGTGTCGGTGGTTAGTGGTGGATATTTACTGGCTCAGTAATTATCCACCACTAACCACCTCCATTTCGGTGAATAGTTGTTGACTAGTCAGATAGCTTTCAGTTAAGGAACTCGGCCTGCAGGACTGAGTGGGGTTCAATTCAGGAAATAATCTTGACTGGCAAATAAAAATTTCAGAAATAACCAAGCACATAATTTGAGTCTTTTGGACAAATTTTATTTTAGATTTCCCTGAGTTGTTTCACATGAGGGTCTGTGATGAATGAATTTTATTTCTCTTGAAGTTTGATGTTGAAAATTTTCTCTCCTTCGGTATTTTGTGAAGCGAAGAGAGCAATAAAAACTAATCCATTTAAATACAGACAATTGGAAAGTGAATGGCAAAGGTGTCCAAGTTCAGCTATTAAGTAACAAGAATTTTGAATTGGACAACCTGTATTTGAACTCCACTTATTGTATGCATGAGATGGGCAGAGAAGAGATCATACAGTAGCTGAGGATAACTGATGTGAGTCAGTTATTTGTAGTCTAAAATCAATGTTAAAGAGGTAGCACTGCAGGTGTTCACAAGGGTTTTGTGTGACCATCCCTGGTTTCTACCCTCTGTCATCCCATTGTCCCCTTGGTTAGTAGTGGCAGAAGGTGAAGTAGATCTAATCTTAGCCACACAAATACTCTTTAGTGATTACAAAACTGTTTTTACACTTAGATAAGACTGATGCTGAGGAGATTGAATATTGAACTAATCTCAAGACATTTTGGATTTCACTGCCCTCTTTCCTGTGAGGAAAAAATTTCCTTATCAAAGGAATATATGAAGCAGCACAAAGATGGTTTGGTTTATGGTTAGCACACTCTTACTAATGATTAAGATGAAATATCTATTTTGTAGTGATATAGCATGACTTTATTCCCTTAAAAAGGAGACTGTTGTGTGTATTGGGATTGTAACTGTGCTTCAGCCATGGTGGGAAAATAGTGAACAGCTCACAATCCATATTGGGCAGTCTAGACTGAACTTTTGCTGGGATTGTTGTTTTTGAGCAAGTACTTAACACCTCAAAAATGAAGGCCTTGCTCACTTCTCCAATCGAAAGGTAGGATTTAAGCCAAGATTGGGACTTCGCTGTCAGACTACTTCTTTCTGCTAATGGATAATAGCAAACTCTCAGGAAACTTGAAAACTTGTTGGGAGAAGAGAGTTTACTTGGGAGGGACCATTTCAGAGGAGTAATAACATTCGAGGTACCATATTTACCCATGTATAATACGCGCCCATGTATAATGTGCACCCTTGTTTTTAACCTAATTTATCAGAAAAAAGGGTTTTTCACGGTAAAAAAGACAAGTTGAATATTTGTACAATTATTTAATGAGACAACAAGAATAAGAAATTTACTATATTGTTAACATCAATATCTTTTGCTACTTAGTTATAATTTTTTATTATTATTTATAATTATGACATTATTGAAATCAAACTTTAGGACTTCAAGCAAGGCCTAGCTAATTTGATCATTCCATGGCCCAGTAAATGTTACGAGTGAGCAACAATATGTCCGAAAAATATTGAAGATTTTGTGTCATATGTCTTACTTTTAGAATTTTCAAACTAATGCTATGCAATTTTCTGGCCATAAAGTCAAGTAAACAATATAACCATGATGAATTCCACTGCATGTAAGTAAGTAAAGACTTTATTTAAAGAGGGTAGCACTAAAATAGTATAAAAGTACTAACAAACCAGTGGCCCTCTAAAATTATATACAATATGAATGTTAAAAACTATGGCATAACCATTACCAGAAATCATGGACATTTTGAGCCCATTAACAATTGTCAGCGGTATATCATGTCACACTCCAGAGCAATAAAGTTTGGGCATTTTTCGCTTATAACAGCAAATCAAGAACTGCTTTAAATAAAGCTTTTGTCCTGAAACATTTCTCGCTCGCTTTCTTCTTGCTTCTCATTAAAAAATTCCATGTAACATGAGATCTCTTCACACGTGGCCAAATTTGCATATTCAGTTTGACATCTGATCCACGTGCCTGTTTAGACACTTGTGAAAATGTTTAGCAATTTTTGTCTTTCCTCTTGATTTTAGAATAAAAACTTGATATGCACCTATAATTTTTCATTGAAAATAAGTTATTTAATCAAAGCTTTAAATGTGTTACTTTTTTGTTGTGTTTTTAACATATGCAAATTAGGACGCGTGGGACAAACAATGGAATCCATGTATAATATGTACCATGATTTTGATGGTTACTTTTGTAGGAAAAAAGTGCGCATTATACACGGGTAAATACGGTAACTTCATTCTTATGAAACTGAAATAACTTCTGACAGTAAGGGGTGGTAACTTGTGGTTCAAGTCTGGAAGCATCTTCTTATTGAATTTACTCATTATTTGTTAGGTCAGAATCTTTTGCCAACAGAACTCCAATACAGTGATGGGTTTGCTCAACTGGCTTCACACCTTTTATTAGAAGTAAATTATGAATCAGGTATATTCCACAATATTGATAATAATGATTGTGGCTGTAAGTTTTCAAAATGATCATTTCATTACTGTATGGTGTCTCTGTTAGATGAATATATGAAGAAAGGGTTATAAATTATCCACTTGCATCACTGTTTCTTGATAAGCTGAACAAATTGTTAATTGTCTGTGAGCAATCAATTCCTTCAAATTATGCTAACATGTTACACAGCTAACTCACATTTAAGCCTGTTTTTGTCAGCCAGAAAAATTAAGTTAAATGCAACTATAGATCAAATTAATTTCAACTCATCTGCAAACCAACAAGGTCTTTTGTCATAAGTTTGTTCACTGCTGGTTATGTTTGTTTCACATACTGCCCCCTTGCATCAGTTCAGAGAAGAATTTATAGAAACTCTTCCTAACAGCATTTTGTTTTCCAATGAAGGAAATACAGACATGAACTGGCACCTTCTTATCATCTTAGAGAGTGCACTAAAGGCAAGTCCTTCCAACCATCAGCTGAAACTCCTTTTGATGAAAGTCTATTGTTCAATGGGTAAGGTTTTTCCTTCCATAGAAGTTCACTTTTTATACTAGAGTCTTACTATAACAGTAATAACTGTGTCAGGAGTTAAAATCTGGGTTGTGCTGTTGGCTTTCCAGTGATGAGACAAATCCAACTCCTATTCTTATGTGTTAAGATGAGGAGAAACAGAGCTTAACTGAGGAAAGGCCTACAGCAGTCTTCTAAATTTGATAATAATAATAATAATAATAATAATAATAATAATAATAATAATAATAATAACACCTTTATTTAGTGACGATAATGTTTAAAGCTGAACAGCTTGTGGGGTCGTGTGTAAATGCAAATAAACTCTAAATAAATTCAAATGTTGATTGTTTTTGAGGAGAGGGGAAAACCAGAGTACCCGGATAAAAACCTCTCAAAGCAGAGTAGAGAACCAACAAACTCAATCCACTTATGACGCCGGGTTCGGGAATCGAACCCTGGACACATTGGTGGAAGGCGAGCACTCTCACCACTATGCCAACCCTGCTTCCCCTGGTCCCTGATAATCATGATAATCTGGGATTGTGTTGCACAGATTGCATGCTCATAAAAGTAATAATTGTAATGCCCATGTTGCATAGATACGGGTGATTAAATGGAAGCATTAAAAAATTGATAACAATCAAGTGATTAAAACTTCACACACTTCAGTGTATGAATTCTGCACACTTATGGCCAAACTCTACATGCAATTTGCTAGTAACTTACTCTCTGCTATCAATGATATTTACTTTAATTTTGCTTGCATGTCACAATACACATGTACACAAACACTTTGTTAACCCATTGACATCTGGTGCACCCTCATGCGCCCGGAAATAAAACCCCTCTGAAAATCCAGTGCGCCCTCATGCGCCCTGCCAGATATGACTCACTTTTATTGGCTGTAGCTAAGAAACCGTAGTCCCCTGGGTATTGAAACATATCTGAACGTGACCTGCATAAATTAATGATTATTCAAATCCTGTTTTGTAGGTGCCATTGGTCCATGTTTAGTGCTTTTTGAAGGATTAGAAATCAAACACATTGAACAAGATGTTGTTGGGTAAATAAAAAAGATTGAAAGTCACATTACTCTGTTACTTTGTTATCAGCTATACTTTGGTTGATTGCAGGGATGTTTGTGTTCTTTTTCCCAGCAATGCTCCAAGTCACTTCATGCGATAGAAACTGGGAGAAGTTCCAGCTTGGTTGGCCACTCGGCTTTAGTACAGACTTAAACTTTTCTACCTTCCTAAGGGACATCTCCATCTGGGGAATACTTTTTTTAGTTCTGGAAGCATCCCCATAATCTACAAATCATTTGTTTAAGGTGTGCAGTAACACGGGAAGGCATTTGTCATTAACAATTGTAGCAGACTTCTAAAATAAAAAAGAACCAAAATGCATCAGGCGCATCAATCAAAACGACAGAGTTACTTTTTAAAATGACATGTTATTTTCTAAGCAGCTTGTTGCTCACTTTTCAAGGTGCTTTTTTGAATCCAGGTTTTTGTTCATTACTGATAGGCATTGTAACTGAAATGGCATTCCCAAAGTATTTTCTTTTTTCCCTTTCACATTTTTACAGTTACACTCTGACACGGTATGTTGAAGCCCTTGGTCATTTTGAGGCAGCTTCATCTGTGTACCTAACCACTTTAAAATTCTTCTATGGAAATCAAAAAAATGTAAGTTACATGATATTTTGTGTGAAGGTGTAGTCTGATCGTCCGGGTGAGTGTAGTCCTGTGAAGGACTGTTGTCGGTGGTAGTGACTGATGTTTGGACAACCTGTGCGGAAGTCATCATCAGAGTCAACTGAATGATTGTTGTCAGTAGAATGTTCTTATTCCAGTTCGTGTAAAATGATCGGTTGGTTTTGCGGTGATGTTATTGGCTGTAAGACTCAAGTGATGTAAGTCGGTCGTGATTGGTCTGTTTCGATCTGTCGGTAAAGTTAGGTTGTTCTTTTTTGGTCATTTGTGATGTTTATGTCGTGAATGAGTCGTTTGTATGGAGCGGGTATACTATTTTCAATGACGACTATTTTCAACAACTGACTCTGGAAAGCTGGTTTACTAACTTAGAGCAGACTCCCCTAAACAGATGTCAACAATTACCCACTCCATACAAACGACTCATTCACGACATAAACATCACAAACGACCAAAAAGGAATGACCTAACTTTACCGACAGATCGAAACAGACCAATCACAAACGACCTACGTCACTTGAGTCTTACAGCCAATAACATCACGGCAAAACTAACCGATCATTTTACATGAACTGGAATAAGAACATTCTACTGACAACAATCATTCAGTTGACTCTGATGATGACTTCCGCACAGGTTGTCAAAACGTCAGTCACTACCACCGACAACAGTCCTTCTCAGGACTACACTCACCCGGATGATCAGACTACACCTTCACATGTTATCCCCAGGTTCAAGCCATTTACTGCACGATATTTTGTGTCAAATAGATTTTACACAACTGCTAAACACATTATGTTACTTTTTATAAACTGCAAAGAACGGATGTATCATCATTTTTTTACTTTGATTCCAAGATGTGTACAACATATGACATTTGAGAAATTGTCACCTGGTGAATATTGTTTTCTTAAACTTGTTGTCTCGCAATGTTTCACCCACCCTCCTCCTCCTCCATATTCCAGCCCATTCTGACATGGTGATGGTGTTGCAGGCAGTAACTGCTCCAACATTTGCAAGCAATACATAGTAAATTGAAATTTCTTTTGATTGGACAGTCAGAATTTGATTTACATGTAAAAGTTAATGGGTTACAGTCCCCATGAACATGCAAGCTATTAAAATTGCATTCTACTGTGTGGGCCATGCTATATATACACAAGTCTTAAAATATGAAGATCTTTGTGATTATTTTCAGACTCCTGAACATATCATAGCTGCCTACAAGTATGGATCATTTGAAAAGGTTAGAAAATTGGGATCATGTCCGGTTAACTGTGCTTAACTCGACCACTTGACCCTCCTAGGACATAAAAATATTCTCAAAGAGTGAATTATGATTAGGTTTTGCAAGTTTCTGCTGGTTGCCTGAAAGACAAATCTTGAAAGCATTATATTTCCTCCCCACTGTCTGAAGCTACATGTAGTTGCTACCATCCTTGTTAGTATTGTTGCAACACTCTTCTCTCCTCTCAGTGTCGAGTTTGTTGTTCATGTGGTCTGATTTTGTTGTCAATAACATTTTAAAAAGGGAAAGAGGGAAATTTTAGCTAAGTGCAATAAAGAGCTTTTTTTCCTAATAAAAGTATGCATTCTCTAAACATTAAGACAGCAGGGCAATATTCAGTTAGTAACCCTTATTGCATTTGTGTCTGCAATGCAAAGGGTCCGCGGAGTTACAGTTTCAGGACGAGGCTATTGGGTCAACATTTCTTGAGAAACACCAGAAACACTCCATGTCTGACCATATAACTCTGGAATCTGCGTTTTTTTCTGCCGAGGAAAAGGTTAAAATTCTTAGTGGTAATTGTCCTGGCATCACGAAAGGAAGATTGAAAGAATGGCTGTCATTTCGGAAAGGAACAGCAAAATTTTGTCGCGTTTGTTCATGACTGCGGTTGTTGTTCCTTCGTCGGCCTTTTTGAGGTTTAACTCAGAGTTATGTTTCAAAGCCCTCAGCGCCTTGCGTTTGGCCGGAAGCAAATTATCTTTGGTTCTGTAATTTCTATTTCTGAAAGGTCACTTTTAACCTCTTCTAAATAGCTTTCAAGGGCTATTGATTTTTGTATTGGTGGTATCCATGTAGATTTGATGTGGCAGGGATGGATTTTTTTGTTCTCCCCTCGGAATATGTAAATCAGACGCATTCTCCTTGCGAACTGATCAAAGTCACACAATAGTTGTTGTCTGATGTGTTTTTGTTTTGTAGCAGGTGTTGGAATGAATTTAAGCCCTTTTGCCAGTAAATTAATCTGGTCGTATGTAAGTTCTTTATTTGAGAGGTTTTTTTATGTGAGTTATGTTCGCCTCTAGTTTGATAGTTGAATGTGTTTGGCAAGACCACGGTTTCAATCCTAATCTTGTGGATCTCATCAGTTGCTGATTCACTGAATAGACTGTTGCACCCATACACAATACAATGTCTAAACATGACGAGAACATGCTCTATCCTTAACAAAATGAATAAAAATGCCCCCAAACATAGCCGTTTGCTTCGATTTTACTTGAAAGTTTTACCTGTGTGACCCGATAGCCTCGTTTCGAAACTTCAAAGTCCGCTGAGCTCTCGTACAGGGGTGTAAATGCGATAAGGGCTATTAAGATGGTCAATTCCAAGAACTAAGACTGTTAATTAAAATTCTTTTTTTGTGAATCTGTGTTGTGAGTGGCATTGGTTAGCCTCAGCTGCGACAGATGCAGTTAACATTTTAACTCATATGAGCGACCAAGATGGAATTTCTCCTTACAAAATCCATACAACATCAAACAGACGATTATTAGTTGATCCAATACGAAATTCTCCAAACTAACAGCAGAAGAATTGTCCAGCAGACAGTAAGGGGAATTGCTTATGAGATCTTGGGAGTGAAAGAGTTAATGTTGTTCAAATGATGGGTAATGTTATGCGCAAAGGGATTATTGGGCGAATTGTCATTATATACCTGGTACCCCATGAAAGGAATACATTGTTCAGTAAGTGATTTTTGTCTGTCTTTCTTTCTCCATGTTTGCATCTTGATATGTTTGAATGCTATGTTTTTTTTTGTCCCAGAATGATTTTTTTTTTCAAATTTTGGTGTCATCAGATTCCAGAGTTCATTGATCTCAAGAGAAGACTTGATCTTTCACTGCATTTTGCCACAGTAAATTATGAAAACATGCTCCTTGACGTTTTCACCAAGGCAAACAGGTTATAATATTGTTTTGTCTTTTAAGCATTTCTTTAGCAAAATATATATATATATATTTCATACTTGAACCATTTTTTTAGCCTTTCAGATATCCAAAGTCATTTTGATGAAAAGAACTTACTTGACAAGTGTTCTGTAGCAAGTAAGTTTTTTTTTATGATTATTCTTGAAGATAAATTTTGAGCCAAAGTGGAAACCATCACCTTCAGGGCTTACTTGGGATGGTGTCTGGAGAATTCATCATTGCTAGATATTGGTAGTGTGATCTTCTTTTAACTCTCAGTTTAAATTGTGCTACATCCTATGATTTGATAAAAAACTTTTGCACAAATTTTCCGTAAATGACACCAATTGCCAAATTACCATCAGCTCTTGGCTGTAAGTATATAAAGATTGGAATTAATAAATGGAAGGAGATATGAGCAATCTTTGCAGTAAGGAATACTGCTTAGGCAGTAATGAAAATAAAGCCTTTGTCCTGCAGTTGAACCTATGACCTCTGTAATACCAATCATTTTTTTTTGACACTTATCACAAAAACAAGATTTGTTCATGGAAAAAAATTTTAATGTTAGTGGCACTATAAGGCCATGAACATAAGGATATGATCATCATCTAAAGAAACTCTTGATTGTTAAACAAATTCTCCATATCAGCACCTTAGGAAATGTGTAGAAAACATAATAGGGAATATGTAAACTGATGGTTGGGTGTAAAAGGTGAAGCGGGCAGAAGAATACAAAATGTACAAGCAAGAAACCGAAAGTATGCCCCAGACAGTATCTGTGTGTTAGATATTTTACATTAAACAGTTTTAAGAGTGCAATTAATGTTTCTTCAGAATACTGGATGAAAGAGCTGAAGGACAATAGGGATCTCAAACTACTTCAAACCTGGGATGGCCCAGAAAGGTATAGACATGTAAATAATACATTTGATTTCCTCTTCTCTGTGGGGTTCATCCAAACATTGAGGTTTCTTTATGACTGGCCAAAAATTATTTTGGTTGTTCAAAAGCAACATCTTCAAGTAATCTTATTTGGTTAGTTACAATACTTAGGGGGTAAGTTAAATTTCAGTTGTTTCAATGACTGAACATTACCTACCTCTGATATTAATAGTAAGTGATGTAAATGCATTGATGCTTCCACATTCTGACTGCCTTTCAGTGATGAGTCAAATCCAACTCCTATCATTTACATAAAAATTGAGGAGAAATAGAGCTTTCCTGAGGAAAGGCTTCAGTGTCTTGCTCCCAAGAAACTAATAGTTTGGTTAAAAAAATAAAAAAACTCTAAAGGCATAGCCTGTCAGATGGACCTTTGATTAAATATTTGGTCTGTTCATTAGTGAGTTGATTATGGAGTGAATTAGTTATGTTGTTTCTCAATACTGATAGATTTGTATCTTTAGGCAGCTATCAAAAGAACAGGAGTTAAGATGTGAAGAGCAGGAGGTGAGTTGGAGTATGTTCTATTTGGATCTTTTCTTTTATTGCTGTGAGATTAAAATTGCAGTTTACAGTCAACTCGCCCACTGACCAACTTGCACACATAATGAACCAACTCACACATGTTAATAAATATACTCGCACACACTTGATGTCACCTTCCCACAGGCTTGAATACAGCTTATTTTGGTAGATCACATTATAAGTAATATAAAAATTGCTAAGTTTTCTTGTGAACTAAGCTTTGAGTTTTGGATCAAACAATTCTCTGCACAACATCCTTGATCTACCTAGTTTATAATGAGCATCAAAGGATTTAAATGCTCTGTGAACTGCATTTATTGTGACAATACATTTGACAGGATACAAGTTTGGATTTCAGAAAGGAGAAGTCAAACAAATATTCATGAAGCATGTGAGACAAAAGTGTTAAACAAATTTAGGAGAGCATCAAACAGAGGGGGAAATATCGAATGGACGGCAAAACACATTGAACTTAATTTAACAAAATCCTGCTCCATCTGTTTCTCAGCTAGAGATCCATGGAATGTAGTTGAGCTTTTAAATATTTGCAAATTCATGGAATAGTTTTTTTGCTTTTTTCAAAATTTGTCTGGTATGAGTTTTCCTGTAGTCAACACTGGCAATTAACATGTGTGCTAGGCTACCTCAGTTTTCATGTGGTCAGTGTAGTTATGGTTGTCTTGCTTTCAAACTTTCATTTGAAATTTTGACACTTACAGACTTAAAATTCCTCAGTGAATTGTCTCCTGTAAACTTCACGTTTTAGATCAAATACATCATAAATCAAATACATTAAAGATCAAGCATATGGTGCAGAGAATTGTTTTCATATACTTAGCAATGTTTATCTAGCAAAGTAAGCAGTATGCAAGCATGTAGGAAGCTGATATTAAGTGTCTGGGAGTTGGTTCACAGCACATGCAAGTTGGTTCACTTATGTGTGCGAGTTGGCATGTGCAAGTTGATCAGTGAACAATTTGACTGGCTATCAAAATTTAATTTTTTTTATTATTGATTTTAGTTTATATTTTGTTCAAAGGCCTGTTTTGTAGTTGTTTCATGTTTTAGGCTTTATGCCAATGACTGAGTTATCCTGCACAATTTTAAATGACAAATATTATTCTTTGTTTGGTAAGGGAAAGATAGCTCACATCAGCTGTATTTTACAGGTGCTCTGGTTAAGGTTGCGGTTTCTTATTCTTAGAGCCCTGGCAGTAGCTGTCTCTTTGATACCAAAACCTCAACAAAATATGCAAAATATGAATAATGGAGAAGCTTCCCCTGCTTGTCCCTTGGAAGAAGTGATCAATGAATTGAAGGAAACATTACAAGAAGTTGATTTGCACCCAGGAACAAGAGCAAAGGTAGGAGCAAAATTACTGTTGGAGAACAAATAGGACATAAAAATAATAGATTAATACAGATACATCAAGCAGTAGCAAAAAAATCGTAAATTGTAGAATGGATTTGACAATGGGACAGAGTTTTAGTTAAAAGCTGGCATCTCCCAAACTTTCTGTTACTCCACTGGGCTTGTTAACCTGGTCACTCCCAGAGGTGATTGACAAGTAACTTCTCCCTGTAATGTCAATACATTATCCAGCAAACAAGTACTGATAATGAGATTATTCAAACTTATATAGAAGTCGTCATCTTGATTTAACCTCAAATTCTTGTTACTAATTTACAAGGAAATGTGCAACAGTTAGAGGGGAGAATTAACATTCAGATCATAGATTAACTGCATAACTTGATACCCAGCACCATCTACTCCTTTTTTTTTAGTTACATCCACCAAGTTCCGAATTTCAAATCTTTATACTGTCATTACTAATTTCAGGAAGTTTCATAGCCAGCTTGGCACATACATGTACCCCTTGTGTCATGCATGTGATAACTGAAATTTACCTATTATTTGCTGTGGAACAAAGATTCTACTGTGATATACTAATTCCCCTTGACTTTATTTTGCATAGCTGCCTTGTCTGGGTCCACCATGTTCAAGACTGCCAGGGTTTATGGATGGTCAGCATGGAAGAATGATTATAGCTATGGTAACCATATGCCATGAATGTCATAGTTTACATCATTCTTCACAAGGTGTTTGTTATTTCTTTTTCTTCTTTTTATATTTATATATATATATATATTTTTTTTTTTATTTTTTTTTTTTACCGTTATTATTTTTTATTTTGCCTCAAACACCAAAACATGTGCCAAGAATAAGTCCAGGAGAGCATTGTCTTCAAGCAGCAGCATTCCAATGATATGTTCAATCCATCTCCTATGTTTTGTAAAGAGGAATAATGTTCATGATAACTGAGGAATCTGGCTGTTATGTAAACAAGGATATCAATCAGATATAAATACTGTTGCGCCACAAAAGTTGAATAATTGACACAAAGAGTAGTATAATTAAGGTAAAATGTGACAAGGTGATTGACTTAACATTTTCTTTAAACAAGTTTGTTACTTTTTGTGTGAAGTTATTTAATTTTGCATCACTATTGTTTTTTGATAGGTTTTCTCTTTGTCAGTGATTAAATTTTGTGGCATTGCAGATGCAATAGATCTCTCACAGGCATAAATGCATGTTTTAAAGGAAGTAAATTAAATGCTTTTAAAACTTAAATTTTTTACACCTCTCATCCTATGAAGGAATATTGATTATAATGATAGATAATACCTATCAGACTTGATACCAGTAGTCAGGTGTTTTTTCAAGTACAAATATTTTTACCCCCTCTGATCTTTTGAACAGATGCTAGTACAACAGAAAGGTGGAATCATATTAGACAAAATCTCGATGTAGTGACTGAAATTTTAAAAGGTAATTTCTTTTTGAGAAAGATGTTTTCGTCTTGTCACCAGAGTGGAACAAACAAAAAATTGAGTCCTCATGAGGAATCAAACCTCCAACCTTTCAGAGTTCACGCTCTGATGCTCTACCACTGAGCCACCGAGACTCTGGTGAGCAAGGCGCAAACAAAGTTCATATATGAACTCTTTCATTTGGTGCGTAAAGCTTAAAATGACATTCCACAAGGTGACTGTCGTCAGCATTTTTTACAGTTAATCATACTACACCAATGTCTTTCCAGTGATGTTACCAATCCATCTCTTATCTCATTTATGCAGAAACTGTAACTGACTGAGGAAAGATCACTTAAATAATCCCAACATATTTAGAGTAAAGAAATTTTTTTTTTTTTCATCTTGTATATTGTATATGTAATTAAGAATAATTTGTTACACAGAGAGCTAAGCTCTTGATTAAGTTTTCTTTTCTTTTAATTATTTCAATTCGAAATTCAAAATGGTCTCGCTTTTGATAAAGGTATCATCGTACATGCTTCCATTTCATGCATAATAATCAATCTTGGTTGTAATTTTTTTACTTTCTTACCTTGTCAAAGAAATTTTGGTAAATAACTTTAATGCCATGGTACACATGTAAAATGTACCTTCAGGTGGACAAAAATTTCGGAATTTAGCTCCAACTGGAAATTTTGTGACATTTGGCATTCCCCTTCCCAGCTAGCTTCATAGCCGCCTTTGAATTTAGATTTCACAAGAAACAGTTTCTCAGTAAGCACCCTTTTTTTTGCTTTGTCTATCCCAAATGAAGCTGTAGACATGAACACTTGTTAATGTCCTGTGAATGTCTGCTCAAGACTGTTTTTCTCTTTATTTCTGCTATTTGGCACCATGCCTGTAGCAGAAAAGTGAAGGAAGAATTTTTTTAATTTCCCATTTTTCCATTTAGCCCAAAGGGATACTTGTTTCCTTCTCAAGCTGACACTGTGGGCTTGTTTTATGTCTGTTGTCAACAAATCTCTTTTTTTCTTCCATTAATGTGCTTCTGCTGTTTAGGTTGTATTTCAGATTGTTTAGGTAAACTCACCACAAGCAGTGGAGAAAAAACAATATTCAATGGATATGTTTTGGAAACCTTGGTTCTCTTGGTTGAGGTAATGAACTGTGGAATATTACCCATTTCATGTGAAGAGTTTTGTTGGTAACTATATTTATCATATTGAGAACATCACTGAATTAGGATCAGCTCAGAGTAGGTAATTTTATGTTCAACATTCAATTTGACCTGGAACAAAATTCATACTCTCACATAACTATCAAACTGTTACATTTGTGTAGTAGCATTTTTGTAGTAGTATTTAAAATAGTTTAGAGTAGTTACTGGGTATATTCTCAAGGACGGTATTAATATCTCCCAGAATTTTCATGTACACTATGGCTGAAATTTTAAAATTTGAATCACAGTTTAATAGCTCTACCTTGTGATTTTAGATAAAATGGTGAATTATTAAGGGTTTTGTTAAAACTTTATATCTGTACATACTGGATTCATTTTGTGGAAAATTGTGGTTAATGCCACAATGACACTTACTCTTTGTGTATTTGGATTTTGAAGATTTGTAAAATAATTCTACATTATAATTTCCTCTTTTGCAGAGCTGTTGTTGTGTCCTTCTTCTAGCAGCTGTATGCTGTAGCTTTTTACAATCAATGACAGGCAGCAAAAAGACCAAGAAGAAGAAACCTACTCCCACTAAAACAGTAAGTAAAGAGGACAACATGATATATAAGCCTCACTCCAAAAAATGAGTTTTTAGATTGTCTGACTGACCAACTGTTTGGCTCACTGACAGACTGACTGACTGACTGTCTGACAACTGACTATCTGTCTTTAGAACTGAGTGAATGCCTAATCAAGTGTAATTCAGTGTCACTACTTACAATTCCCTTCTAGTTATTGTATACTCTCTGACTCACATATCCTGCTCAAGTTTTACGTATGTTAAGGTTGAACAAAAAAAAAGTAAAGTTGGAATGAGTGATAAATCTAAATGGGGCTTGCAAAAGATGCAATTGAGATCTCAACTGAAGAACAAGAGGATACATACACAAATTTTGAGCTTGGAAAATAAGAAACTCTGTGGTAAAAATTTACTATAATAGCTTTATTTTAAGAGGCATTAATGAAAACAAAGGCAAAAAAATACTGCGCTTGATTTATGTTAATCATGTTTACTTTCATCAGAATGAAGAGATGGCACCATTTAAAGAGTTCCTATCAACACTGAAATCTTCTCTTACATCCCTACATTCAGCACTTGTGGAAGTGAATATTTGTCAGCTCTCAGATGAGCTTTTGGAACTGAATTTAGTTGAACTAGACAATGAGGTAAAAAACAAGTCCTATTTTTGTTGAGTGAGGGCTCTGCTTTGAGTCATGATAGACATAAATAAGATAATGTTTGCAATAGTTACTGAAGTATTCAATTGAACAAATGCGATAATGAAAGTCAAGATTTCATCATCGAGTTATGTTGAAGATGTATAATGTGATTGTTCCACAGACCAAGTCTTCCATTGTGTCAGAGATTTGGGAGAAACTGCAGACAAGCTATAAGCAGTCAGTGAAGGAGATCACAGAACTTTTACATCACAAAGTCACTTTTGCTAAGTCTCTTCGTATTTAGGCATTAAACAATTATTACATTTTGTCAATGTACATCACAACAAACAGTTGGGAAATTCTCAGAGGAAGAGTTGCATCTTTCAGCCTGGTTGTATCATTAGTACCATTTATGTTGGAGAAAGCAAGATAAGACATGGACTTGTGCAAGGTTAAAGGTGGTCAAGAAGGGAGTTAATGTGTTGTCAGTGGCCAATGGAGTAAAAGGTGTGGCTTTAAAAGTAAACTCTACTTGCACCAGCATGTGGAGGAAGGTGGTTCCTTTTGCAGAGTGGCCTATGGTTAGTGAAAAAAATGAATGTAATTTTGTCAGCCTTGTATCATTGTGGTTTTAAATACATTTTGGGTATGGTAAAAGTACTGGTGATGACAATGGTGATGGTTAAGGTACTGATGACGTTGAAGGAGTTATGAGACCTTGTTTAAGCCCATGAAAGGTCACAAAACAATTCACTTGAGAATGTGTACATGGATCTACACATTCTACATGAATGTTGCATGTAGATGCTAAGGGACTAGGAAGATGTTAAGATTGGAATACAGCACGGTACTATGATATGATGCTATCGATGATGAATTGTGGTATTTGAGTAAAATGGAATGTTGAAATAGTGGCAAAGTTACAATGCTTTTATTGTAAATACAGCTGTAGGTGTTATTACAACACTGAATCTGCCTACAGTGTAAGGGATGGCAATCAGTAAATATTAGGATTGTTAAGACTCCTAGAAATGCAAACTAAGACTGAACATTTTTAGCTATAGTTCTACTTAGATCATTTTAAGGTAATATTGTCTCATTTTTTTAGATGATGACTTTTGTTTTTTTTTTTTTTTGGTGGCATAAGCTTTTACATCTCAACATCTTTTTGTTTTATGGGTGATGCAAGTGGCTGTTATCAGCAAAATATGTGTTTGCGCCCCAATCATATAAGAACCCCACATGTAGACTTTCGATGCTCACAATGATACCTCTAAGCTACTGTTGCCACCCTGTGACTTAGCTCCTGGTCTGAACAAGTACATACAGTAGAAGACGTAGATAGTTTTGAGAAAAGATTTCAAAACTCATTACAAAGGTTGGTAGTCATCAGTCAGTCAGTCAGCCCACTGATGGTTGGAAGGTCTTTCAGGGAGCTGTTCTTCACCATTACCTAAAGTTTGCAAGATGGTTGATTTTCATGGTATCAATAGCCACCCCTGTCTTTAATTAAATCACTATGGATTTGTTACTATTAATCATTCACTTATGAATCACTGTGCACTTGAATTTTTTTATCACGGTGTCATCATATTGATGGTATGTTTTAGCTGATTGATAATTAAACTGGAAAATTAACATATAAGCTATTTTTTTTTTGTTGGTTCTGTGGTGCAAAAAGTTGAACCATCAGTAATACTTAACATTGGTTGGAACTGTCCAACCAGATTGGCTGGAGACTGGAGAGTTTTAGTTGATGACAAATTTCTCTTGATAAGTACACTTGTCTGGCTAGCCAATTTCAACCAGTGATAAGTTGTCTAACTGTCTGTATATGGGTGTTGTTTGCTTTAGTTTGTCTTTAATGTACGTCAGATTGCTAAAAGAGGGTCTTGAAAACAGTTGGAAAAATTTGAGAGATACTAAATGTATTTTCACCTTCTCAAAACTTTATTCTCAAGCAAGTAGAATTGGGTCCATATGCTTACTCTTATGTAAGCATAAGAGAATTGGGTTGGTGTTTTACTGATAAATGAAGCAAGAGTGGGAGAGAACTTCTGCATTATTTTTATTAGAACACCCATGGAAACCAGACAAAATAAGGACATGACAACATCACAAAATAGTGCTGATATGAATATTTTTAACTCATAAGGGTGTATTTTCAGTGACCAATTTAGACCTGTTGAATTTGATGAGTGACCAGATGACGTTTTTTTTTGTAGGTACAATGCTCAGAGCAATAAAGTTCATGTAGAGTAAAACTGTGTTTTACTGAACTCGAGAATGTGAAATAAAGCTTTTAAATTCTTTATTATAGATGTATTGGCCGATAAGTCTTAGATGTGTGATGAACATATCTAAGATATGTTGAATAAACATGCTCAGATATTTCACATTGTCCTCAATTTAGGAAAATATATTGATATGTCAGTGGGTGGGCAGTTTGATTATTTTCTGAAGCTGTTTCATGTTTCAGCAAGTCTCCATTCCCTCCCTTCCCCTTGTTTTATCCTCCTACCCTTGGGCAGGTTATGTGGCAGTACTACAGCACTTGTATTTGAAGGCCAACATCAGTTTCTGTTTGACTACTGTGGCTTTCACACTAAAAAGGTACAGTAGGCAGTTTTCATTGCTATTAGTTGTTGAGCTGAAGTGTTTTAAAACGACTGAAGTTGATAGCAAAGCAATGTATTGACAAACTGGCCAATTGATCTAAAATTCACATGCACTGAATGGCAAAGGATTGCCAAATAAAGCTTTGCCAAAAAATAAAAACAAGACATGATGTAGGTGAATCTCCATGCTCCTTTAAGTGCAGGCTCAAGGACAAAGGGGATATTATATGGGCATACAGAGATACAAAGATTATCTTTGGGTGTTGAAAAAATATTTCATGAGTGAAATAAGCAAATAAGTAAAATATTTTTCAGCACAAAAAGTTTCCCTTTTTGTATCTCCAAGCTGCCATGTAATATTTCATTTATTATATAAACACCAATGAAATACCAAACCACTTCACTTTTGCTATAAAAGGTGTGATTAATTATGTAACTGATACCAGTGTATTATTTTACATGTGAAGATAACATGTATTTGCATGAAATTTCACCTGGTATTTTATTGGTGTTTATATAACAGTGCAAAATCCAGCAATGTGAGAAATGCCTCCTCTAGTGTTAAGTATGTATATTACATGGGCTCTGAGGATCAAATGCATTTCATATATCTTATTAACCAAGCACGAGGGCCGTACTGGGAGAATATTGGCCCGAGGTCTTGACAGTACGTACCGAGCGCAGCGAGGTCTGCACAACAAAGACTGAGGGCCGATATTCTTCCAGTACAGTCCCGAGCAAGCTTGGTTAATAAGAGATTTATTATACGACTGAAGTTCAAAGGGACACAAGTGTGGTATCATTCAGGACAGTGCCCGGTCCAATACTGAGAGAATATTGACTGGCAATAGACCATTTTGATTGGTTGACTTTAGTTATTGGCCCTCTGACTGCCCGAGTCGTGTAATAAATTACATTAGTGGCCACCAACGGGAAACTGGTTCTTACAGCTTGAATGTGTGGCTGCCAGCAACTTCAGCATAGAAAAATAGCTGTTCATGCAGAAAGTTTGAGCTTTTGTAGAAGTGGTTTGCAAACCTTGTACATAGTCTTAATAAAAAAGTTTTTTTTTCCTTAAATTCATCCTTTGTTTTGTTATCACTGGGTTACCAGCACAGTAAATTGAAACATGCAAAACGCTGTAAGATAAATACTTTCTTCATGACAAAGTACTGTCAATAAGTCCACCCGTTTATTGTACATTTTTAATTTACAAAAATTCCATTGACTCTAAAGCCATGGGGTAAAATATAGAATCTGTCCTGAAACAGTTACCTCTGTCGCTATTGTCAAATTCCGAGATCTTTCACATCAAAGCTGATTCCTAAATGTCATTATTTCAATGAATAACAATGTTTTGGTCCCCTCAATTCCCTGCCTGTCCCTGACCTTGAAGCTGATTCATGAGCCGTTCATCCTGCATAGACATGGCTGTTAGTTTCTTGCCAATCCTGTCATGTATTTCCAGATATTTTGCCACACAGCGATCCAAACAAACCGATTCGCCTTTGGTTAGATCACCCTCTTTGTATTTTGGAGATATGCACTTCTTCTGACAGGCCACAGTTAATCTGTGATTGAAATCATGAATGAAGTTAAAGCAAGTCAGCTGGGAGTTTTCAGATATTACCAGTTAACCATATTGCAGAAAATCTGTCAAGAGCAGCAGGGTCAAAATAAACTATACGAGAATATATGAATGTTATGCTTTTGAGTGTCACCCTGAAACCATGCCAATGTGCCAAAAGTAATGCTCAATTCAATAATTCACAACAAAAGCTTTAAAGAGCCCTTTAAAGAGCCCTTGATCAACAGGCACTGGGTTATTCGAAGGTTGGATGACGCTATCCACTGAATAAATCTCTATCCGGTGGATACTGTTATACGCTTTGCTATCACTCATCCGCCGGATAGCGATTTATCCGTTTGATAGTACTATCCGCCCTATATACAACTGGGCCCAGATCTAAAGCTCGAGTAGACAGCAAATTGCTCATCACATTCAGGAAATGCTGAGGGACAAAACATTTTATGGGAACCTCGGGAAGTGGTACCAATAGTCAATTAGGAAGGTTCCTTCTTGTTTCATATCAAACTGCCGACTTCAATGCTTGCGTGAGGAACGGGGAAAACAGGGAACCTGGATCAACCCCTGAAAATTATGGAGCATAGCTGTGCACTGAGATTTCTCTTCATCTCACTTCGTGTCGTGCAAACTCACCTGTTATATAAGTCCGTCATCATTTCGATTTCCAGTTCTGCAACCATCTGTGCCTTAGCCGGGTCCATGATTGTATCAATAGTTTTGTTTGACTATTCTTACGAAGAAAATTTGGCTGATAGATCTCACACGTGTTTGGCAGCCATTTTGAAACCGCTTCTCATGGGAGAGACCGCAGGCTGCTCACTGAAGAGTATTCTGTGGTGTAAGATTGCGCAAAACGTGCCGTGGGTCAACTCGGAATATCGGTGGAAGGGAGACATGAAAGAGAAATTTCGATGTTCTCCTCTAGCCCTAGCATTATCAGATGCGACCACTGATAAGACTCCTATTGACAACAGTCATCATTAAGCTATCATGTTAATTTAAGGGGGAATAGAATCATTCAGGTGTTTATATGCTTGAATACTTTTACTATCTCTCAAACGTAAGCTTTCAAGTTTCCTTTCTGTAATTTGTGTTGTACTCAAAAATATCACAGTACAATAGATTCAGTCAACTCGTCAATTACTTTAGTTGCCGCAGACTGTGTAAAAATTTAAGACAATTTTTTATCGTTGTTCAGGTAGCCCTTAATTAAAGTTTTTCGTATCTGTTAGGCCATGTTTAGTTAAACAATTTTTTAACAAGAAATTGCTCCCCTTTGTTTTCCCCCCGTTTCATGCGCGCAAGTATTGCGTAATTTTCGCAAGATTATAGTTCACTTGACATAGTCTTCTTGAGTTCAGTCTTAGGGATCAGATTTTGTAACAGTTTTCTAAATCTAGGATCATTCATAGAGTGTTTCCTCATCAAACTCGGCGATAACAATGCTGGTAAAGTTGTCGACTGCGCGGAGTGCGAGGCGAGTAAAGATCGCGTGGAGACCACGTTGTGTCGTGGTTTCTCGTGAACGTCGTCCAGTGAACAATGTAAGCTTCGTTCCGGCGAAGAATCATTAGACCAGAAGTCCTCCATATTTGTAAAGCGTTTAACTACACTTCGACTTATTCTTGGACTGCAATTGAGTCTCCCTCCTCCTTCAATCGGTGGCAAGGTTAATAATTCCGGTTTCGATTTACCACGTCGAAGTAACCTTTTCTTCATAAATTCCTTCTCCCATCGAAGCCGGTTTTCTTCTTTTTTCTGTAAATGTTCTATATGATTGATCTCGTCTTCTAGTTTAGAGTCTTCGAAGACGTTGTCTCTTAAAATAACTTTTCCAGTCTTACTGTCCTTAACTTTGAGGGCTTTTTGTAAACTGCGAGCCAGTGATAGCTCTCTTGCCCTTGAATCCTTATCCATGTCGTCTATTGTGTTTGTCTTTTGTTGATTGGCGATCAATAGCCAAATAAAATACCCAATTGAATTATTTGGATTGACTTGTCACTTTCATTGCTGTGTTTCTTAGCGGGAAAGAGCCACTTAATGGCGCCAAGGTTTCGTTTGGATCTTCTTTAGACTGTAGCTTAACTGAATAATTTATTTTTGAGTTATTTGTTGAACAATGTAGCATTTAAACCAGGTTTAATTGTTGCGCCGTGGAGCATGCAATTCTTTACTATCATTAAATTTCTTTCTCTATTATCCTAGCGTCATTACAAGGGTCATTAGGCATGCGGTCGGTATTGCGTCTACTTCGCTAAAGCCCACGTACAAAACACACAGATCCACGAATATCTTATTGAAGCACTGGCTAACAATGCACTAATGGTTTCAAAAAATCTGAACTTGTGGTAGAGCAATGTCGTAAAAGTCGTAGATCTACCATGAATGGACTTGCGCAAACGTGACCGGACGGTCTGGTCATTGTGCCGACGTCAACTCGCCGACACCACTGGTAAACTCGCCAAGGTTCTCGATAAACTCTCTTACTTTCGCTTTGGACGAAGGGCTAACGCTCAAAAATTCAGCTTTAGAAATGTACTCTTTACGTAGGCTAATTAATTATTGATATTGATACATCTGTATCCTCTTAGAAAATAAAGGGAAATCGAGGTCATTTAAAACGAGGGCGAAAGTTTGGAATGATAACGATGATGATTATTAAAATAAACATAACAAATTAGGCGAAAACAACGTATAGCCATAGAAAAACCTCTATTTACGAGTCATGGCATTACTAACATGTGCAGCCTCATTTGAACTACTTAACCTAGAGCACGACTTGAGCAGATCCTGGAACGGGCAACACACCGAGCTGAGTTCCTTTTAATAGTGATATACATTCTAACTAGGTAAACAACTGCGGCGAAGTTTGAATGGCTGGCTGAGAGTATTCCCCGGCCTGCGGGTACTACTGGGAATTCTCGGTGCGATCGTTCCGCCAGGTTCTTTAATCCCAACCCTATTTCTGATAAGCACAATTTTCTTCATCGATCCCTTTTTAACCCCGACGTCTGGAACTTTTACTTGGTATGCGAACGTATACCCGTATAGCTTACATAAGGTAGTATATCCCTAGATCGATCATCGGTCCAGCCATGAATTGCTTGAAACGTTGAAATTTTCATTATTTGCTACGGTGGTTTAACTGTCTTTACTTCCAGATAATGATTAACAATGTCCTCTTTCTTCTGATTACACCGAAGACTAGACTATCGTTGGCGAACTGATGAAGACTGAAGTCGGCGAGCTGACTAGTCGGTGAAGTGATTGCCGAGTTTTTTCGCCTTTCCTCCCTTTTTTAGAGTGGGTTTAGTTACCTTCTACCAATTGACTATTGATTTCGGGGTGAGTTGTCAGAGCATAGAAGAGATCGCCAAAGAGCTAAGAGCTTTGGGGAGTTTGATAGTTAAACATGAGAGCGCATCAATCACTTAAGCATAGTGGATTTTGATACGATAAAAACATACAGTCGAACTTCTCTCTATGGCCACTTTGAGGATAAACAAAAGTGAAAGTTGTGGTGAGGTTGTCGTTATGTGAAGATAAGCATAATTGTGATATCTTTATTTTGTAGGCTAAAACATTTTTATTCGAATGCAGCCCTGTTAACAAGAGGTAAACTAAAATTCCAATCCTTTTTAGTAAATAAAGATTACTTATAGAGTTTGTGTAGGGAAAAAAATGGTCTATTCTGATGCAGAAACGATGATTATTATAGGGTAACGCCAGGAAAGAGATCAGGCTCCTATCATTGGTTCCTCTCGGAGGTAACTTGAGATAATGCAACCGTTAAGTGATCGCCGCGAGTTGATCCAGCTAAGATTTTTGTGTGAGAAGACAGTATAATGTTGACTAAACTTGACAAAATTGTTCGTTAGAAACTCAATGCAAAGTTGACATCGAAGTTTGAAAGGGTAAGATGTCTTCATCTGTTGTGAGTTGATCTAGGAATAAAAGCGGCGACATGGTCCCAACACGGATAATGAAATGCGTTTTTGGAGGCCACACAAACTCCCAGAAGCCGGTTCTTTAAATACCAGTTTACACGTTGGAACATAGACAGCATGGCCTGGCCCGCAGACATGTTAATGATGTTTTCAACTGTAGAAAACCATCATAACATATTTAAAATAGCTGATATCTTAAAAGAACTTTGTGCAGTGTATATATTGAATACAATGTATATATCAAGTTCATATATTTTGAACTGCGGTATTAGATACGTATGATGCACGATCCTCGCAGTAGAGAGCGCTATTTATGCAATAGCGAAAATCAGACCTGAAAAAAATCAGGCCTGTACGGGATTCGAACCACTGACCTCTGCGACACTAGTGCAGCGCTCTACCAATTGAGCTAACGAGCCAACTGGGAACAGGCCATTAAGTTGATTAGTAATAAACCCGTGATGATAAATCAGATACAATGTATATATGAAGTTCATATATTTTGAACTGCGGTATTAGATACGTATGATGCACGATCCTCGCAGTAGAGAGCGCTATTTATGCAATAGCGAAAATCAGACCTGAAAAAAATCAGGCCTGTACGGGATTCGAACCACTGACCTCTGCGATACTAGTGCAGCGCTCTACCAATTGAGCTAACAAGCC